TATTTGAGTTAAATTTGTTTTAAATTAATTGTTATTTTTTATTTTTTTTAAATAAATAAATTTTTATTTTAACTTTTTTATTATTTATTTATTTTAATTAATTATTCTATTACACAAAAATTTATTCTATCTTTTAACCTTTTTTTAAGATAATATACATAAAAAATTATTAAATTAGTGCTTACCAATAAAGAAGATTTCAACCAAAAAATGAAAGCACATTTTCCCTAAATTTTAGTACTAAACTAATCACCACAATCATTTTATTATTATTATTATTATTTTTTTTTTATCCTTAAACCTATTGGGTCGGGTCGACCCAACTCATAAACACGATCAATCTATCAAAATGAACAAAAATGGATCAAACCCAAACACAAATAAAAGGAAATTTAGGGGTTATGTTCAGCCAATTCTGATTTTCATAAAAGAAAACTAAACAAACTTCAATGAAAATGCAGATTCAAAACATCCAATAAAGCCAAACAGAAAACAAGAAGGTAACATGCTTGATTCTCATTCATTTTCCAGCAAATTCATACAACTTAAACCACAGAGCATCAAAGTATTCACAGAGAAAATCAAAAGTAAAGCACCCATGGCGGAAATTTTCGGAGAGGACAGATCCGCATCCGATCGGAGGGATCCCACGCGCGGGATTAGCTCCTTTCATCTCTCTCACTACCTCTCCAAAAACCCCTCTGTTCAGAAGGTTACCTAAGGCAAAAATCAGTTCCCAATTCCAGCACCAGAGTCCTTGTCCGAACCGCACTCCTTCGCCGAGGAAAAACTCCAGCAAGAATCACAAGCTACTGACCAAAAGCTTACTCCCGGAAAAAACTCTAAAACCAGAAAATTTTTTCTTCTGAAACCGAGAATCAGAACCACAAAAAATCTTCCCCCAAAACAACTGTCCTCAAAACCCCTCCAAATAAAAAGTTCTTCCCTTTTTTTTTTCTTTTTTTTTTTCCAGTTGATGTCGACTCTCTCAAAAAATCCCAGATCTTACCTCTCTTTTTCGGTTTTTTTTTTTGTCGGCGATCTCTCCCCCAAAATCTAAGGTTTTCGCCTATTTATGCCGCTTTGGACGAGCCTACCCTGCCCTTTCCGCGAAGTTTCCACTTCTTTGCTGGATGTGGTGCTATCTGCTCAAGAACGGAGCTTGTGGAGCATAAGGAACGGATGAGCAGAGAAGAAGCAGAACGGGTTCCAGGAAGGGGAGGAATTTCTGCGTTCTTGTCCCAATTTGGGGCTAGGGTTTTTTAGAATAAAAGTGGCCTGGGTCAATTTGGTGAATGGGGCGGAAATGGACTAATTTTGGACTTAGCTGAAACGGGTTTCTATTTGGATTTAATTTTTGGGCCCAAATTAGCAACTCTTTCTAAATTTTGACATTTGATCCTTTATTTTGATTTTTTTTTATATTAACCTCTTAGTATCCACTAATCATATCAGGTTCCGATTAATTCAGAATTGAATCATGTCAGACCTTATTAGACAAAACTCTTTCAGTGCTTATTTTTTTATTTACAAAACTCAAACTCGAGACTTTATTTAAAAGGAACTGAACTCTTTCCACTCGATTCAACAAGTCGTTGACGATCCTTTATCTCAATTACTCATGCGCTCAAGTCCAATTTCAGCATTTTCTTTTGTCTAATTTGTCCAAGCTTTTCCCTTTTTTCACAGTTGAGTCTTGAAACAAGAGAACAAAGCTAATTTAAAATATTTATTATTATTATTATTATTATATTTTATTTGTTTTAGACTAAAACTTTTAATTTTATTCATTATACAAGTCTAGGTAAAAATTTAAGTTATGATAGTACCATAACTCTATAATGTTCAGAAATTGATTGCATATAAATTTGATTACCTCTTGTATTCACATACTAAAATTTCTTTGTTTTTCAAAAAAAAAAAAAAAAATCTGAAACACTATATAACATACAGATTTTCTCAATTACATGTCGTGAGATTTCCATAATTAAAAAATGTATGTAAGTGTGTTAAAAAGTTAAAATTTTAGTCATGAAGCTTATAAATGTTCTTTAATATTACTCACAATGGCCAAAATACACATTTCCTAATTATGTGTTGTGAAGTTTAGATAATTGTGCCACATCTGCCGCTAATTATGACGTAGTTGGTATACGTTAAGCATTTTATATTTTCGCATGAAAATGTAAAGTTATTTAGAAAGGAGATCAACCATTTCCTCGATTCATATCCGATCATATATTAAAAGAAAATGGAAAAGGAGAGGAAATAATTAACTAAAGGACTTTCATTATTATGGCCAAAAAGAGAAGGGACTTCTATTGTTTGGGGCCAAAGTTGGTGTTAACGGTTGGGAAACTTAATCTCTGGGGCTTGATTTCTCAGCCCGTTTTCTGCTTGATTATTAATTAACTTCATCTATTTATTTTTTGTTCCTTGAACATTTCTCTTCCATTATTATCATCTTAGAAATAAAGAGAGTATTTTAATATTTTTTGCAAAAATAAAAAATTTTAAATTCAAATCATATTAGTTTAAATCATATAACATATAAATAAAATGTATTAAAATTTTTTTAAAAAAAATTGTCTTTCATTTTACATTTTAAAATTAAAAAAAGAAAAAAGAAAAAAAAAGGGGGAAAAGTCAAGAGAATCAAATTCATATATACCCGCAAACAAAATCAAATTCAATATAAGATACCAGCTACGAAACGGTATCCAAACAGGGGTAAGCTAGAATCCTTAAAACCCTTCAGAAAGTAGATCATATAAAGCATTCTCTATGTCTATTTTTGCCCATCGATGTTGACCATTATTGAAAATTTATTTTATCATTTCTCTCTTTTATTGTTGATGAAGATTCAACCCGTGAAAAGGATTACAACTAAGTAAATTTTTAGAAATCTCAATCGTAATATGAATAATCTGTTTTTTAAATCAAGTGAGGAGGTTAGAGTTGGAATGAATCGTGGAAAGGAGAAAAAAAAGCTACTCTCTTGTGGTGGTAACACAGTTTCAAAGACCTAAAATCACTTGCCATGAACCATGTCATGTTACAAGACTAGCTAGTTTCTGGGAGCCCGTTTGGGTTATTATGCCCAGCTTTCTCCCAATGCTTCAAAATCTTTCACTAGCTTCTAAACACACTCAAGGGATGACTCAAACTATCAAAAAGTAAATTGATATCACTTCACAACGTAACTTAAAGAAAAAGAGGAGCACAGGTTATAGCTAAGTCACACCATACTATTATTTTCACACTTGAACATAGTATAGGAGAAATTGAAGAATGTGAATGCGAGTAGGGAAACTAGAAGTAAGGTATAATGCTTTGTTATTCAGAGGTATGATAATGAGTACATGGGTAGCCTTTATGTTGGCAGTAACCCATTGAACTAATTAAAAACCTAGAAACCTTAAATCAGTCTAACATAATAATCTAAGAGCTATTTGCATAACTGATTCAATAATTATTAATGCATATCTCCTAAATATCCTCAACAGATGGGTCGCAAGCTTTACCCCGTAGAAGAGCCAGTCAGCCAACGCTGCTGCTAGTGCCATGGAACATCCAGAGCATCTTACTAGAAAGCAACATAGTGGCTACTTTGCTTGTTTATGATTAGACAATCATCAATCAAGGCAGACAACTTGATTAATATTTCTTTTTAATAATTTTGAGCTTAATTAAGTTCAATAGAGATAAATTATTTTAATATCTTCTTCAACAGGAAAATCCTTAACCCTTAGCAATGCTATGACTAATTGTCACAGAACTGGAAATGATGGATGGACCAAGCATTGGTTGTTAGCATTTTAAAAGGGAAATGGCTAAGGGAAAGGGATGTATTAGTTACAGCTGGCTATGCAGTCCACTTATTGAAAGGAATTAAAAGGTTATTCAATTTAATGTCCTCAATCTTTTTGCAGTCATTTCAATGGTTCTTTATGTTGCATCAAAGGGTTAGTAGTAT